CCATAATTTATCATTTTTTCTTCACACAACCGCCTCCATATCATCCTCAAACTTGCATCCAACTCGTCAGTCGTTTCCTTTTCGGGATCCACTCGAGATCCTGCCTGGCGTGTGATGCTCCCCCCCCCCGATTTCAAAGAGTTAGTTTGTAAAGATTCCATTTATTTCAAGTTTGACCCCAGATTGATATCAGTTGGAGAAGCATTCGAAGCCAGGGAGTACAGGGACAGCCTTCCGTCATGGTTTGGAACTCCTCAGCAGTACCCAATCGCCGGTGCTCGAACCCAGAATCTTCCAGTTACAAGACAAGGCAGAGTTACGCCTATCCTAGCTATCACAATCGAGCAGTACATGTCCACTAACGGGGTTGGAACCCATGACATCCCGGTTACAAGGCAAGCTCGTAGACCATTCATCATCCGCTTAGACCCAGTCCAATCCAATGACCTGCCCATGAATTTCATCTTCTGCAAATTCACAATATAGCGCGATTGGCACTAGCCAATGTCATCGGTGTCGAGTATTTATCCTCACAACCGACCTGCCGTACTATACTGGTCACGACTTCTCACTAGCCCACCTACCTGAATTGAGCCAATCACTAGTGAGCGTCAGATTGATTTTCAAGTGTAGGTTTGCAGAGACACACCGAGGGACACTTCAGAAATGCCTACTTACTCCTAATAGGTGATGAACACAGTTCTTGCAACAGGTGGTAAGCTACCTTTTGCCCATTAAATTGGTGAAACCCTCTCACAGTCGACAACAATCTGTCTCAGACAAAAGTCAAAACCCTTGACAGCTATGGTGAATAATATTAGGTTTTAAACATCTTTGACATTCATTAATAAGTTTAAAGAGTTTGCAATCAATCAATAAGAGTCAAGCCCTCAGAAAGTGCAAAAAAAACCATGAGTGCGCGATAACTGCATTTTGAAGTTATTTTCATGTTAAAGAAGAAAACTGAAGGCGTATGACAACAGTATATCACAACAGAAATTACGATAGCGGTGGTGGTTTTTACACCCTACTTTCCCAGTTTATAGAACTTACAACCGGTTAAGAATGAGGGACTCGAACCCTAAACCACTTGCTTGAGTGGAGACGCAGTCAAGCTTAATTATATTATCAATGAAATTAAATAAACTATTCCCTGAATTGCAATTAATAAATGCTCAGCATAAAATTGACGCATAAAGTTTGAACTGCAGTTTCCGACACGATTGAGAAAGAGTACTATCGAAACAGGAAGAAAGATATAACATCAGTATTCCTCAATGTGGTGTACCACCCTCTCCCCAACGACCCACTTCCAGATTACTGAATTAGTCAAGTGATATAAACCGTAAAGTCTGCAGGTGGTTATTACTCATCCCACTCTCTGCAGATTCCCACACAGTGAAAGTTGACTTCTACTTGAAGTATTAATGAAAACAAAACACGCAGATCAGCGAAGTCTCTTTTCGGGCGAATTCAGCTGTACAATCGCAAATATATATGTGTTATTTTGTATGTATTTATGTGTACATTAAGTTTGTCAAACAAAATCACAATTGGTTATGGCTATTTTAACTAAGCAGGTGAAGATTGGTAATACAAGTCAAGAAAATTAGGTGTTAATGAAATTAGGGTAGTAACAAAGGTGATGAGTTGTCACAAACAGTTGTTAAAAAAGTTATGTAATAATATATGAATAGTTTGATGAGTGAGTTTTACTCAGGATGCACGTAGAAACAAAGTAGGTAATACGAAATTACACAAGAGTTCTGAATGAATACAAGAGTTCTAGCAATTAAAGAACAGGCAAAGAAACAAAATTAAGTCATCAAAACCAAAAAATCAAATCGAAACAAATCAAAAAAGTTGTTTCCATGACAGTAGAAGTGGTTGAGTAATCCTCTTTTGCATGCACAGCTCCGGTTTTCCATGTGAATGGACAGAGCTTCAGCGATACAAAGAAGACGAAACCGTATTGCTTTGGTAGGTTATTCTTGACTCTGTAGATTACTTTGAAGGAGGCGTTTTTTGAAATGGAATGACCAGTGTTAACCAGGTGTTCAATTATCGCACTCCTTATTGCACCACTATTGCCTTTTCGCAACCATGCTGGATAGTATCCTTGAAGTTCTACTTGAAGTACCCAAAAAAGATACGGCATTAGTGTTACGTGATCACAGAGCCTTTCGGCAGAATTGCTTGAGACCCCTTCTACACACAACCTGCTTCAGTTTTTTTAGTTCTAGCCGCATTCAGATTTAGCTGCCGGCTACGGACCTCCGCAGAGTAAGTCAGGATATACAGTCCATTGGATCTACCTTTACCAACTTTCTCTATCCAGAGTGTAGAGTCAGTATAGCTGAATTTGCCATTACACCCACATTCGTCAGTAGTACAACTTTATCCTCGGAACGCCAACATAGTGTGAACGACCTACGCAACAGTATTCGAATAACCTTTCTGAACCTGAAGGAACATTCATTCCCTTTTAGTTTAGCTTGTAGGATTATTGCGAAATGCAAGCCCAACAAACACGTCTGGTTATTAGCTATCGATCGAGTGATGATGAGGTTCGATCCCCGGCCGACGCACACCTGATATCTATGGTCAGCCTGCGAAATTTGGACTACCGATATCACATGCTAAAAATTCCACACATGTAACCAAAATACGGTGTGGGATCAAGCTGTAATCAAAAATAAATAAAAAAATAAAAATGTTGAAAGAAAGCTAGCCTTTTCGTATCTCCAACCTTCAATGGCAACCATGTCAGAGCGAACTGCTGAGCGGCAAGACAAAGCCCTTTGGTCAACAGCCAGCTGATGTCGTAAGTTGGCAAGCGTATGCTAAACGAGCCTTCTGTATCTGTGCTGAGACTTCGTCAGCCAATCAACCAGCTGGCGTTGGCTGATGCAACTTCTCAGATAAGTGGAGTGGTCAACACGCTCCACTCCTGCCTATCTTTAAGTCAGCAGTGAGTCAATTTAGTCCAGTCACTTCTCTAGCATCATCTTAGACTTGACAACAGGAGCAAAACGCATACCAAACATTCAAAAATTGCTATTCAGGACTATATCGTCTGTCTGTTTTCGACATAGAACTTTGCACAAATGTGGGGCAGTTCAAGTCGCCACACTACCTCCATGTAGCACACGAAGCAAGAAAAGAAAGTACAAGAAAAGGATAATAGAGACAGTAAGCAGAAGTGTGAGACAAAGGAGGAGTAATAACGAAGAACAAACAGTTTCATTGGAAATCATAAGTCACAAGGAATGGATGCATCTGCGCCAGCCATTGAGAACGATTTTGAGCCATATCACTAATTGTCTCCAACCATAGATTTTTACTGTCCCGAGGACCCAAACCAGGAAGTCTACACCTTCCTAAGTGGCTTAGACTAATTGTTGTAGATTTCATTGACTGGTGCAGCCATGTTTTTGTTTGACCTCCGCTAGCTTTTTTCCAGCCTGACCCTATATCCGCTAACATTGCTCGTCGAGGAAGGCGATTACTAGGCATACGTGACACATGTCCTAACCATCTGTCTCGGTAACTTCACAACGTCGATTAATTTCCTCTGTTCACCTAGCACTCGATGCCTAACCTCAATATCGCTCACCTTATTATACCACTTCACACGGGAGATAGAACGCAGGCACCTATGATCAAAGACAGCTAATCTTTTCATGTCTTCCACTATCAATGGCCATGTCTCACAGCCATAAAGGAGGACGGAGCAGACTGTGGAGCAGTACACACGCCCTTTGGTCGATAGTCGGATATCTCGTCTTTGCCAGAGACGGCGTAAACTAGCATATGCGAAACGAGCCCCCTGTATCCGTGCTGAGATTTCGTCAGAGATCAACCCGTTGGCGTCGGCTGATGGTACTTTTCAAATAGGTGAAGCGGTCAACGTGCTCTACCACTTCACTCCCTATTTCTAATCTAGGAGTCGGTGTATTCCAGTCCTGTAACATCACCTTGCATTTGGCGGGAGCGAATCGCATGCCAAACCTTTGCAGATTGCGGCTCAAGGTGTTTAGAAGACACTGCATTTTTCAGCGTCCTCGCCTAGTAGGACTATATCGTCTGCATATTCCAAGTCAACGAGATTATTCCCTGGTAGCAAGTCAATCCCTGAGTCGCTGAAGTGAGTTAGGGTTAAGTCCATTAGTACATCTATGATGAAGTTGAATAGAAAAGGGGATAAAGGGCATCCTTGACGGACACCACTAGTCGTCACCAGTTCAGATGACAACTCGCCGTAAGCCCTCACCTGGCTGTATGAGTACGAGTAGAGTGCCTTAATCAGTGCATATCGTCTGCATATTCTAAATCAACAAGATGGTAAAAAGTCAATATCCCTGAGTCATTCAAGTCAGTTAGGGTTATAAGACACGACAATGTAGAACTGTACACAGAAGTAATGAAAAGTTCCATACAAGGCGGCGTTAGTGTACCACTGTTTTTTTTCGTTATATTTATTTACACAGCTAAACAGAAATACATATGTGTACAACGAATAATGTTGTAAAGGATTATTGGCTCGTAGTATATGTGTATGTGTGCAACTTGTCAACCTTAAATTCTCTGCAGAACTAAATAAATGTATTTCTGTTGAAAGAAAACTAAATAATCGTAGAAACCAGTGGATTATCAGTGAAAGAAAAATAGATATATATAGATATGTATTCTAATTGTAACTAGGGAAGAGAGGGGTGGGGTTAATTCTAAACACATACACGCACACACACACATACGCATCATGTTCACAAGGTTTTTTCCACTACCATTTTTTCATACAGCAAAAAACAAAAGAAAATAGTGTATATGTGCTGGCTGACAGAGTAGATCGAAAAATGAAAAACTGAGCAAGTTGTTCACATTCATTCATTCGGTCAGTTATACAGTATACAGTGTAGAGCAAGTCATATTTATTACATAAGCATAAGTGCTGGATGTTCTAAGATCTTTTTAAATTCACTAAGCCAAGTAGCACCTACAGCTCCGTCAACAACACGATGATCACAGCATAGAGTAACTGACAAGACATTAGCTTTCTTGAATCTGAAAACAAAAAAGAGACAAAAAAATGGACAGAAATTAATGAACAGAAGACTTTGAACTTTGTCAGTATCTTCACATAGAGAAAACTACAACATCTGCATTCTCTAAATTGATGAGACTGTCCTCTGGTAACATGTCAATCGCAAAGCCAATAAAGTCGATAAAACTTATATCTATTATTACATCTAAGATAAGACTAAAAGAAAGTGGGGACAGTGGACATTCCTGACGGACATTATTTATTATCATCAATTCAGATGACAACTTTCACCCTAAACTTTGATGTACAGTGTATTATGCATATACTGAGGCTTGGTCTTAGCATAAAATCGTCAATCAATCTTCAGCTGTTCATTTCCTAACTAACATCGATACTAGCTCCTGAAATACAACGACAACCACCTCTAGATGAATACCAGAACTCCTATAGGAAACTGAGGAATTATTCTCACAACACTTTTAATTTTTCCTTAACAACATTGTTACACTTCTTTGAAACTTTTGTAATAATAAACATGATATTAATCAACTGGTTTCATTGCTTAACTCCAATTGTTCAATTGGAAGTAATTGAGATGCATTCATGAAGCTGTGGTCTTACAGTTTAGTTTCAACTGTATTATAATGACTTTTTAGGTATTGGTTTGCAGGGATTCGATTGATCACAGATTGGATCACGAGGTGATATCAATTAGAGAGAAATATTGGGAAACCACCAGGAAGTGTTGGACAGATGATTCATCCCACTTCATGCAGACCAATCAAATCTGCGAGAGTTAAGTGAATCTGCTGCTTACTAGCAACTGGCTCTAGACAAGAAGTTACCTAGAGTTCTCATTGTGAGAAATCTTGACCAGTGGGGTCCATCAAGTCAGGTAAGCGAACAGTTAACTCGCCGTTGACATTGGCTGGCGTTGGGGTTAGCGTTATATGTTGTGAATTGGAAGAAGTTGGAATTCGTTTGTCATTGAATGGCGTTCCAGTGGCTGTGAATAGTCTACAAGGTTGCCTTATGACTGGAGACTCCTGGATTCGAATCCCGGTGAGTATGTACTGCTGAATGGTCTCAAAACTAGGACAAACAGAAATCCACAACTGGTTTTCCAATGGTTCTTCCTCTAACTAATATACAACACTTGTGATCAAATTCACATTAGGAAAAAGAAATTTCTGAAATGATACCGAAAAATTTAACAATGTTTTAAGTATTTAACAAAATAACAATTTACCCTAAGTGACTATTACTATCCGGTAACAGAAGACTTCTTGTACTGCCGACTGCAAGAATACACGCTTGTGGTGGATTGATTACAGCACAGAAATTCGATATACCAAACATGCCTAAATTTGATATTGAAAATGTTCCACCCTAAAACATGATGAGAATATATTAAAAATAAACAAATAGATAAACAAGGATAATTTGGATAACGCATGTTTTTTATACAAAAACAAAAAGTGTAATAAAATTCGATGTCTTTAATTGAGTATCTGTCTGTCTGTCTGGATTCAACATAGAACCTGGCACCGAAGTGCACCAGTTCGAGTTGCCACGTTCCAAATAGCACACAAAGGTAGACAAAAAAATGAGTGAAGAGAATCAATAGAGTTTGACAAGTATAAGAGTGAAACAGAATGGGGAATGGTAGAAAGGAATATGCAAGATTACAGAGAATGAATACATCTGCGCTGGCCATTGACAACGATTTTGAGCCATGTCACCTATTGTCTCCAGCCATTGATTCCTAGAGTCAGTCCCGAGGGCCCCAACCCGGAAGTCTGCATCTCCCTACCTGACTGACTCAGTTTAACTGTCAAGGATTTCATGGATTGATGAGGCCATGTTTTTGTTTGGCCACCACTTACTCTTTTTCAACCTGCACCTATATCAGCCGGTAACGCCCGTCAGGGGAGGCGATGGTTATGCATGCGCAGCACGTGACCTAGCCATCTCAATCTATGTGACTTTATAGCCTCGTCGATTGATTTTCCCTCTTTGCCCAACACTCTACGCCTAACGCCAACATTACTTACCTTATTACCACATAACGTGAGAAAGAGATCGTGGACATCTATGATCGAAAACAGTTAACCTTTTCATGTCTTTAACTCGTATTGGCCATGTTTCAGAGCCATAGAGAAGGACGGAGCGAACTGCTGAGCAGTACACACGTCCCTTGGGTTGATAGCCGGATGAGTCTATTGTTGTCAAGCGTTGAAATTAACGTTCTGACAAAAAAAATACGTGGTGTCATTCAGATCATCACATCAATGAATCAACAGTTCAGTAGTAGAGAAGGCTTACTGATAAATATCCTCTTGGTTCGACTCCCAGACGATGCGCAGTTTACCGACCAGTAGGTTCTAAACCCGGGAAATAGGGGATGTTAGGGTGTGATACTAGAAACTCCCTCCCCCCCCCTATCGTACAAACAGAACCATCGCTGAATGTCAAGGGTTTATACTAATGAAGTCACATCTCGACACACACTGTACCAACAAGCATATGCCATCAACTAACAGGTATAATTTATGAATATGCAAGTAATGAATTTGAGTGATGCAGGAAACAACAGATATACTGACTAATACGAAAATATATATTACCCGTATGTGGTGAGGAAAACTCATAGATTGGTATGACTAATGGGCTGTTAATAACCATAATAATGCTTTTAATAATGATAATAATAATAAATCGTAATCATCTAAACATATAATTTGGTTGCTGGTGTAGCTAGTAGTGGAATCCACAATTCGCATTTCGTCTTATTTAGGACTCATCAACTGCATCTACTTGCATTCCCTGGTCGGCTGACAGTCACAGTCCAATGAAATCGATCAGTCAATGTGAAATACGAAAAATCAACTAAAACAAATAACGTTTAGACATCAGTTACATATTCAGATTTAGGTATTATGGAGTAGATTTGTAGCTCAGGTAAATGATTTTGATGTAGTTCTGTTCTCTAAGCTGGACGGTTCATTTGCGTAGCTTTCATTGCCCTGCTAGGCAACATCTTTAGTGCATACTTCAATTTTAAGTGGACTTTTAGATTTCTCCACGAGTTTATTAGTCATCTTTATTGGTGGATGACAACGTGGTTGGTTGTTTTTGTCTGTTTTCGTACCCTATAGACTACTTGTATTGGAACTGATTGTTTCTTTGACTTAAACTTTGACCCTTTGTGTGTGAGGTTTCCTTCTTATCGGTTTGTAAATTTACTCTATCTCGATGATTCACTGGAACACCAGGCTTCTAAAACTTCTCTGGCATTCTTGGTGTTTCCTCTGTTTCACATTTGAACGTTGTCCCAGTCGAATTGATGTCTGTGGTTCCATATTAGTTGGTTTATTAGATATATCATACAGTGAAACAGTATTATATACTGAATGACGTTTTGAACAAAATTTATTGTTCATAATCATATCAATTGTAATCACACGACTTTGAAACTTGAGTTTTATAGTTTACTTTGTTTTCTCCTATTTGTCGTAGGGGTAGTAGAATTTTCCAAATATCAGGGACAGGTGTTGAGTCATTCCTATACATATCTAATAAACAAACTAATATGGAATTACTTACTACCACAGTGCCCAAGTTTTACACATATATTAAGATGCCCGTGGTTGTCTGTATGCAGTGATACGAGGTTGGTTAATGTTCGTGGATGCGAAGATGAGGAGCGGGACGTGTATTTTGGCCAATGTAGTGTTTTTCACAGCCGTTGCAACTTATTTTGTAGATGATGTTGGTTTTATTTTCTTTCGCAGTTAAGTCTTTGGGTTGACACAGAGCTGAGCGAAGTGATTTTGTTGATTTGTGTGCAACATCAATTCCTAAAGGTTTGAAGAGTCTTGAAGCGATTTCTGAGACGTCCTTTATATATGGCAAGATGATTCTCTTTGTTTCCCTTGGTGGCTCTTGGTTTGGTTGATTGGCTTCTGTGGTAGATGTCTTTTGATGAAGTTTCGTGGATACCCATTCTTTTGGAAGACGCCAATGAGATATTTTTTAAAAATTTTCATCAAGGCAGGAAGTGCTGTAATGAGTCCTGGCTCTCCTGAATACTGTTTGTATGTAACTCTTTCTGTGTTATTGGGTTGGTTCTGTTGTAATTGAGTATTTGATAAGTATAGGTTAATTTCCTATAAACTTGAGTTCCTAATTTTCATGTCTCAATAGTATAGAGTCTCAGGACATGACCTGATGTCCAGCTTAAAATTATCCTACCAAGGTGAGCTATCAATGTAACTTATTGACTCTCAGCTGACGAGTGTCCGTGAGTCGAATCTCATATCCCGTCTACTTCAGCTGCTCATAAAACGAATTTTTTTTATTACAGCTTGATTCCACATCGTATTTTTGGTACACGTATGAAATTTTCAGCGTGTGATATCGGTAGCCCAAATTTTGCAGGCCAACCATAGATATCAGATGTGCGTCGGTGCGGGCTCGAACCCCGGACCATGTGCATGGTCGGCGAGAGTCCTAACCACTGTGCCACCGACGCACAAATGGCAAATAGCCAGCCAGTCGGCACATGACAAATCTATGTACCCCTATCTAACCTATCAGCCTAACTTTTAACAGTGAAACTGGTGCAATGGCAATTTAATTCAAACAACAAATGATAAAGAAATTTTATAATATAAAAAAGATTATTACCTGAAATTCATGAGGTTGTAATTTATTTTGTTTAGCTTTCGCTACTAATGTCTTCATCTCTTTATTGATTTGTACTAAACCCTGAAAATTAATAATAAATATAAAAGTAATATATATGAGAAGAATGAAAACAGAATCGTACAGATGGAAATGCATGCTTTCTCACACTTACTTCCTAAAAATAGCACTAAAGTGTAGTGAGAATGCTACTACTTTGTAACAAAACCATTAATGGTTCAGTTACGTTTTTCTTATATGAAATTGTGGAATTTTAAATAAAAAGCTGGTGGTGAAAAAAGGTGAATGCGAATGTCCGGTATTTACATCGGGACTAGTGGATACGCGGATACATCTATGTAGGGCGGTTGTAAAACCCTGATCCGAAACCTTTGGTGTACATGGACTCCAGAATAAGAACGCAGAGAATCATGTATGGAGCTAATTTAGTCAACGACAACCATGGGAAAACAGCCCCACTTTTTTATAGGTTAGATTTCATGTGAAAACCTTGGATGTGGGGAAGGGTAACCCTTTAAAACAACCATCTGCTCCGGTCTGGGCGTCAAACTTTGCACAAACCATTGGATTCTGTGTGATGCATCTCTTGGTGCTCAATTACGTAGCAAGGTTGGTGTTTTAATAAACAAAAGTAAGTGTTTAAAATTCCTTTTTATCTACATACTTTATAGGTTTTTTGCACATCTTAGTATATTATTATTACCTCCATGGTTTCATCATCTTTGTCCTTTCGAATTCGGGTTTGTAAACAAAATATATATTGTGGAACTGTGACTCATCAATCTAAGAGCTGCTTTAGTTTAGCACAATTCTAGATGTTAGAGAACAAAATGAAATATTTACAGCTATTGTGAAATGAGATGACATGGTTTATCTGAACGACTGAAGAATACGAGTATCTATGTACATTTCCAAATATTGGTTTTGCAGGGAACTTTAATTTGATTGGTTGGAGGACTTCAATCATGAGCCAACCCGTGAAGGTGAGGCAGTAATTCATCAAAGAAGACACTGCAAAGTGGTAGACTATTAGATCGGGTCCCAATGGCTTAATGGTCTGCAAGCCGGCTCGCCTTGTAACCAGAAGGTCCTGGGTTCGAACCCCGGTGGATGCGTACTGCTGAACAGTCCCAAACTAGGACGAAACAGCTGTCCAGTACTCCCAGCTGGTTTTCCAATGGTTCTTTGTCTATGTTTATCTTTATGATACGTCAATAAAACCATTTTTCAAGTTACTAATGAAAGTTTATAAATATATCTGTTTTACGGACAGCAAATACTTCTTCAAAGATATTACAAATATCTTAATGATGGTATAGCGTAGAAAAAGTCCTTTCATCAGACAGAAGAATAACCTTAATTAATGTATAGACTGACTGGCCGTTTTTCACAATTAGACTGGCACGAATGATACTGAAAATAGAAATATGAGTGAAATGAAAAGTGGCATCATTTTGTATCGATCCAAGTTGTTACAATTTACACTAGCATGATATTTATGTGAATTGGTGTTCATAACATTGATAGTTTAGTGATCAAGCTAGAAATTATTTATAATATACACCTTATAGATGAGTGAGGCGCTAATGAATGGACTTCGCGTATTTGGATAACGTAGTCTTAAAACACTGAAATATGAACATAATTTTAACCAAAATGAACGTTTTCAATAGTTCTAGAAACAAACTATGCAGTTCGATTGCTTTTACTGTTTTCGACCAAAAACAGCTTTTGCAAGTTTCATGACAGTTAGATAATCAATGTTCACGTCTCATTTATCCTTGGATTGAATGGATGGTAAGAGTAATGAGGCTGTAGACCGAACGAACTAACCTTTAAAGTCGTCCGTTCAGTATTATTATTCTAGGTTTTTATTGAAGTTTCATCTTTCAGTGCCATGGATTCTCTAAGAATGGAGTTTCCAAGGCCAGTGTGTTTTTAGTAAGCCTAAATAGCAGAAACTGAAGGATGCAACTTTGAACGACACCTTCATTGCAGCCATAAGATCAAAATTGAAGACATTACGTAGCATCACTGAGAAGACCTATGTGGAAGAATACTGGAAATCTCTGAAAGTGATGCTTAAGGAAACGTGTGTAGTCGTCTAAAGAAGAAAGAAGAGGCGAGACAAAGAATGGTTCTCTACGAACACGTGGAAGCTAATCGAGGAGACGGACGGCAAAAAAGAAGAACAACCAAGACGGACAACAGGAGAGGCTGAGTTCAATGTATAATGCGTTGAATAGAGGAGTGAAAAGGAGTGTGAAGAAAGACAGACAACTCGATGACCCACTGGTAACTCAAGCAGAACAGGCGCAAGCGAAAGAAACCTTAGAATATTATATGAGATAACCAGGACGGTCTCGAGGAAGAGATTCATACAGGCAGTGAAGGGACCCTAATTAATAAGAAAAGAGCCGAAGAAAACAATGAGCTGATGACTTCAAAGGACTTTTGAACCGACCATCAACTGCAACTCGTCCAGAAATACCATCAACAGTCAGACTACTACCACCAGTGGACACCAGTTCCCCAACAAGAGTAGGAGTCTTAAATGCAATCAAGCTACTGAAAGCCAGCAGGACCGGAGGGAATTCATTCTGAAGCACTGAAAACAGGTCCATAAAATACAACGGATATGCCCACGCCATTATTGCAAAACGTTTGGAAGGAAGGAAGGGTACCTAATGACTGAAAGAAAGGCTACTTTGTCAAACTTTCGAAGGGCAACTTTAGCGTCTGAAAGAACTGGCGCGGAATCATGCTCTTGTCCACGACAAGCAAAATATTAGGTCGCGTCATCCTGGAGAGACTAAAAGTTGCTCCACAACAAGATATATTTAAGAAAGTCAAATCATGTGTGGATCAAATTGCAACCCTACAAATCACAGGATTTATTTTTTATTTTTGATTACAGCTTGATTCCACACCGTAATTTTGGTACAAGTATGAAATTTTCAGCATGGATATCGGTAGCCCAAATTTCGCAGGCCAACCATAGATATCAGGTGTGCGTCGGCAAGGGATCGAACCTCGGACCATGTGCATGGTCGGCGAGAGTCCTAACCACTGTGCCACCGACGCACAGCAGTTAAATCACCTTAACTTTATCGATTTTGAGAGAACCGTCAACAGTGTTAACCACGAGGTAATTTGAAAAGTATTTCAACGCTAAAGATAGCCCCAAATCTGTATCAACCTCATTTTACAGCTATATCATAATGTCACAACCGAAAACTCAGAAAATCCTTTGAAGTGAAGACAGGAGTGAGACAAAGCTACCTACTATCACCAATGTTGTCACTGATTGTCGTAGACTAAATCATGCGTCAGGCCGTGGGGTTGGGGGGGGGCGAGAAAACAGGAATATGTTGGACTGATAAGAAGACTCTAGAAGACCTGGCTTTAGCGGATGACTTGGGTCTAATATCACACAGACTCGAAAATTAACGGACGAAAACCAACAATTTGGCAATAAGAGGAAGGAATCGAAGACAAGACCTGAAGTGAGCATAGAAAAAAGTAGAGAGAATGGAGATAATCAATCTACAACAACAAGCACCAATCACTACCGCCTTGGGTGATGTGAAGGAGATGAGGACATAAAGGCGATTGTGGTGGCTGCTGAAGAGGACTGCAGACGACAGGACAAAATGTCAATGGGTTGCTGAAGCCGTATGTTCCACTCGGAGCCCTAGGGATTAATAATCTAATATATAGCAGGTGAATACTATTTAGAAGTGCTACTAATTCCGTTTCTTCCGCTTTTGAGGCTTGTGCGCTGATAATATTGCACTAAATATAGTCATAAAAGCTACATATTTAAATAACCTTGCTCAATATCTACTGAAAATAAACTCCCTGTAAAGCAGACAATCCCTAGCATCTTAAAAGATATATGTAGATAATTTACACAGTAAAAAAGATTACCTTCTTTTCAGCAGAAAATATTATCGGTGTAATGAGTCCAGCAGGAACAGCTACAGCGATACTCACATCAACAGAATGATACCTGTGGAAGAAAGAAGAATGTCAACTCAACTAGCAAATTGAAGTCAGATGAAAGCCTATAGCAATATTTAAAGTGAAATTTAACAATAACTTTTACTCTTAACATCGTTTTGAGACATGTATAGCTGGGAAGTGTATACAATGCATCTGTGAGTGACAATGTCTAGCTTAATGAAATCAGTTGAAAGATCTAAATTTTTGGCAGTAAACCAGTGTACTTGAAAGCCAGGTACTAAGATGAACAGCTTTCTATCGAGAGTCAGCAAACGGTCTTTGTCTAATGGTCTTAAACTAAATCCTTCCAAATGTCAGACCGTTAATTTCAGTTTCCGATGTAAAAGAAAGTTAAATGAAGTTGTTAATTGCTAAGACGATTGTAAAATTTATGATACTGATATAGAAAACAAGTCTGAAGTTAAGTATCTCGGATTAATTCTTTCCTCTGACCTATCCTGGTCTTCTTATGTCTGACTTTTCACGCTAAGAAGTTAAGGCACTCGGACATAACTCAGCCTCTTCTCTTACAGTTTGTCAACTCTTGCATCTTACCTATTCTTCTTTATTATTCACCCTGGATTGCTTAAAAATGACTACGTCATCCTTCGCAGAACTCTGGAAACTGTCAGTAGGGCGAGTGGCATCCCATTGGGCAATTTCATTGACATTGTCATTAATGATAGGTACTTGATTTCATGCAACAAATTTGATAAAGGGATTTTGTCAGACTGTGAGCATCCACTTTACTCATAGCTTTCACTTTGTGTTTCCTCAGGTAGAACAAGAAGTCATTTCAAAAGACTTTAAGCGCTCACGTCCAAGTATAAAAATTCCACGGTACCATGTTTGGCGTACATATTTTATATGATGAAAATAGTGTCAAGGATGAATTAGCTAGCTCACCTTCTTACCGCTAGTAAATATACCATTTTCTCCACCCTTATAACATCAAGCTTCACTAATATTATTCTTCTCATATTTGTAGTACTCGTATTTTTATTCGTTTTTCATATTTTTTCACGCGCTATAGGACGTCAAAGTTACTTACATGGTGTTACCGCTAAATATATACTATCTTCGAGAGAATGATGACCACCCAGATATAATCACCACAGACCCTTAGCTCAGAAAAGTTGAGTTTCACAAGGATAGAATGAAACTGCAATCATTAAAGTAGTGCACGCCCACAGTTTACCACTACACCACCAGACGAACACTGACTGTCTACATTCTCACTGAATCACTTACTCTGAAGTTGAGGAAACTTATGACTCAGGCAGATGCTTTAGGAATTAATGTGTACACGGAGTTGCATAGTCTCAGTACAAAGCATTTAATATCGCTCTATACAACTTCACTGCTAACTTTGATATGAGGCGAGGTTTTGCAATTCTCCATGAATGAAGTAACAGTCTCTCCTGATGACGTTGACTATGATTAACTGCCGTGCAAATTTTTTCTAGAAGGACAATGAAAGCTACGCAATTAAACCACCTAGATCTGAGAACACAACACCAAAAAAGTATCAGTTAGTCTAAACGGCTGGATTTTGTGGAGGTACACTGAATTGAATCCATTAATCCAGCAGCGTACATACGGGTGAGAGTATTAAAAAGTAATATAGTGAGGTGGAGAGAGACGTTAATCACTTAAGCTTTATTTATCGGTTAAGCAGTACACACATGCAATCGGAATGACGCAGCGCCTATACCGGAGATACGGAAAGTGGCAACAAACAACGAGGATATATATTCATCTATGTATAAGACGAATTGTGAAGCCGTGTAACTAAATCCAGTTATTAATACTGCGCCACTGCGTAATATTTCAAATAAATTTACCTAATATGAAATAACATACGCACGGGTTTTACTATTATCTGGTCGGAAAACTAGCAGTCAAAAGACGTGTGTAATGTTTAGTGGTCCATACTATCCTCCTTTATAGCTGCTTCATGACCGTTAAGAAAGGATGATGGCAAAAGGCTGTCCTTTATCACAGACGTTTGCGTTCCATCTCCCATATTGAATGGTATAATATGGTAGATAGTCTTGTAGTTAGGCATAGAATGTTAGGTAAGAAGAATTTTGAAGCCACAACGACTGAGATGCTTGGAACGCATGTTACGTATTTCAAGCCTCTGTCTTCTTCATCGAGTAATGTTAATTGGCATAAGGTTTGGGTCGGAAAAGAGTTGAGGGTGATCAATTTGAAACAAGACATCAACTCATAAACTCGTTGGTAGTTGTTTTCAGTCTGTCACGTAGAATGCCATGTTAGAAACGTTAGGATTCTAAGAACCAACGATGATAGACTATTGGTGATGCGGTTTGAAGTCGTTCTCGACGGAGAAGATATATGCATTAAAACTCAATTAGTTTTTCGTGTTACTATTCTTTTTCCCAACAATTCTGCTTATTGTAGTTCTTTTGATATTCTGTTTTTCTCCTTTCTCTCTACCTTTGTGTACCACAAGAAGTATAGCAACTTGAACTGCTATACTTCTACGCAAAGTTTTGCGTTTAAACTCAATCGTACTTCAGCTATCAGTCTGTCAGAAGCAAAACAGCTCTTTAACTGGGTCAAATGGTCAGAGAGATAACAGTCAGTGGCTGTAGCTGACAGATGAACGCGTGAATAATTACTAATGCCAATTAGTGAGACAAAACTAGATACTAATATTACAGTGGTGAAGAAGGGATATGACTACTTTAACACATGTATGAATTAAAGAGAAATTACACAAAGGACAGCGATTTGATTGATTGCAAGTTGAGGAACTATTGGATACCAGGCAGTTCTGGACAGCACAATCAAGGTCGCAACCTAGAAATTAATTCGCTAGTCACACTGTGAGTTGAATTATTTCGGCTTTCAAATTGTAGTGAAATTTCACCTTGGACTATGCAAATATCTTTTGGTTTTGTATATCCGCCCACGCATCCCTTGACGTTCCAAGTGGAACACAGGGCTTCAAGCAGTGTTGGTGGTTTTCCCACGGTGGGGCTGACATCCTCACGCCCAATCTTTCCTACTTACCAGACTTGCTACCACTTAGGCGAGGTTAAGGAGCGAGTCGACTGGTAATTGAATCCGAACTATAGGCATCAAGTAAACATTTATACGGTAAAACCAAATGCAAACACAACTTTTTTTTCCTTCAAGTTCCCCAGTGGAACATAGGGCCTCAAGCTATAGTGGCTTGAAGTTTCTGTAGCAGTGTTTGTTTCACAGGATGAGGTTGCTAGCCCCATGCCCAACCTTTCCTCTTTACCAGGATTATTTCTGGCTCATCGAGGTAAAGGAGTTTGTCGGCCGGGGATCGAACCCCGGACCATGTGCATGGTCGGCGAGCGTCCTAACCGCTATACCACCAACGCACCGGGCATCAAGTAAACATTTATACGGTAAAACCAAATGTAAACACACAACTTACTGTCTGATAAATTCACCTTGCCAGGATGAATTACATTCAGGTACTTTTAAACATGTTAATGATGCTGCCTTGATGATAATATCATTTAAGCTTATCTTTGGTACAGGTTCTTCAGATTTTGTGTCTGCAAGCTTTGCTAAATCTGTATTGATTTTAGAGCGTATTTCTAAAACTCCATCTAACTGAATATCCATTGTCAAATAGTAGTGTGGGATAGTACGTTTTGATTCTGTCAGTCGTTTAGCAATTACCTAAGATAAAACAAAAGATAATTTTAAAAAATACTTTTGAATACGTATCAGTACATACATGTGTGTGCAAGGACGCATGAAGGCAAACTAATTTTTTCATTTTCATGACTTCGAATTCGAACGGCTTAAAAACGTAGCTTTTATAAGAATAATTTACATCAACCTTATCCCCGTCTACTAGTGCCTCAGACATGGAGGTTGTAAGAAGGGATTTAAGAAACCTTGATTCCAAATCTTTGACATACATGAACTCCAGAATCCGAATCCAGAAGCCATGAGATAACACCTTCTAATGTTGCTCTGTTGTCATCTGCTAGATCAACTTCAAATACATCAATCGATAGGAAAAGCCGCAGTCTATGATATGTAGTTTGAAAAAGATACTATTTTGTTCCTATGATACGTAGATTAACATATGCACGTTCACCGTGACGTTGTACAGAAGAGTAGATTGTTACTAGCTCTAGGAAAATGTCATTACACTAGCCCTGCTTACTCTGCATAGTACAGTATAATTAGTTTAATGCACACATCAATTTCGATATTACCTCATTATTTAACTTGAAGGAAACAGTATTTCTGTGCACAGATATTTCTCAATACCTTCACTGATTAACCTACGAAGTTTGTGAGTTTATATGAAGGATGATTTTGCCACCAGTTGATTTCAACTGAACACAAAGGAACACATACACACACAAAACGGTTATCGGCAGTCCCCAAGACATTTAGAAACAATGGTTGGAGACTATTGGTGACATGCCTCAACATACTAACTCTTCATGAACTCCTGTGTACATTAAATTCTCACTCTTGCTTCTCTCGTCTGCCGTATTTCACTTTCATTTTGTTTCTCTACTTTGGCGTGATTTTGAAATGTGGCAACTTGAACCAATGAAATTTTGTGGATAGTTCTACACTGAAAACTTAGTCAATCAGCTATTCAGTTTGGGGGTGTATAGCGAGGCAGAAATAAGTTGAGGACCATCAGTCAAATCAAGAGGTGAACAAGATCCTACTCAACTACAAAGTAAAAATCTAGATACCTATTGTCTCCATGGTGGTGAGTTCACTTAACAACACCGAATCCTTATACTTGCATGCTAATTATAGTGGTCCAGTAATTAATGCCCGATAAAGGAGACTTGCGTTTTAAGTATATAGGAGAACCAAAACGTAGCAGATATTAGTGTAAGCAAGAAATTATTGTGGAAATATTTAAAAATCATAATTTACTGGTCTGTAGTTCACTGTGTTTACTTGAGTATTCACCTTTAAGTAGGTTAAATACAATGGATCAGCTAGTTTAAGTATATTTTCGTGATGACACAAAAAGGTTTGAGTGTGCATAGTCACACTTGATTACGTCATAATCAAGTGCCCCAAAAAGAAATTTTGCTTAGAGAAACAATTTTGTATTACCGAAAAAATAGTTTATACTTACCGCTCGCATGTTACTGATACTGATATCTTCAAACTTCCCACCTGCTATATCTAGACCAGCAGTAGTTGCGGCAGCAGCACGTGCCGAACCCAAGTCTGTTGAGCGTATCATTCCGTGCATTCCAGTACCAGTAATTCCTGACAGATCAAGCCCCTTTTCCGCAGCCAAGAGACGAGCATAAGGGGAAGCAACCACTCCTCCAGACTTTGATACTATCGGAGTGGAAACGGCAGGAGTAGGCGTCGCAGGTTGTTGTGGAGCGACACTTGGAGGTGGGGTCGGAGCTGGAGGTTTTGGAGCTTCAGTTGTTTTTGGGGGAGAAGCTTGTTCCTTAAAAAAATGTTAAAGCATAATCGCCACAATTATAAATTAAGAGATTTACAAAGTATGCTGAAGCATTCCTACAGAATTTCACATTATAATACAATAACGGAAAATTGAAATACAAAAATAAACAATGCAGGGAATAGCTCTGATTTTACAGACATCTCAAGAACTTAAAATACCTTCTAATTCCTTACCCTTTAAGTGTAAAGTGCTGTCATAAGAGACCTATTTTAACTATCGTAGATCAAACAAGAACCAGGCCACGTTGTTTTAGTCTGACTACCTCTAGTTCCTTTTTAACATGATCGCCTATTACAGGTGGCAGTGGGCTGGTATGTGCCACGCATGTTTCAGCTATATGGAATTCATCAATCGATCTTTCTTAGGCTAATATTAGCAAATATCTGGTCTACATATTTTACACAACCAGTTCTTATGACCCTGTTAGTGGAAAGACATTCTCAACAACTCTGCACAGATGTAATAAGACATTTTGCACATGTCAGAGAGTATGCGAGGATTTTGAAGCTATTGCTATCATCATTCTATAATTCACATCATGTGTAACCATATGGTGTGTAAATTATTACGCAAATCAATAAAATTCCCTATTTGAGTCGAGTAACTCGGTTTGTATGTGTTACAGTCAATAAACTACTACTGTTTACGACGAACATACGTGGTTTATACTCACTGTTCAACTAAAATTCGTTATTAAGTGTAAAAAAGTATGAAAATGCATCAATAATTTTACAAATTTCACAACATTAAGTCGAGAGTTCCGAAAAAAATCTAGGGGAATAGATGTGATGAAAAAAGCAAAGTTTTGCGAGTACTACGACGGCATCTAACTTCCTATGACACACACACACATAGAGAGAGAGAGCCACTTTTTTAAATGACAAATGGAAACTCAATCCAAATAGCAGTCCCCCACCGAACAAAGTATTCTAAGAGGTACCTCTACGGTCTAGGCTTCAGTTTCCCTTACACAATCTTAAAACCAACAATGCTTTGTGTGGACAGAATACACACGAAACCAGAGATTGAATAACAAATCAACAAAAAGGCAATTGATGGTACACAATCTTGGGGTCTTCAAAATCAACATAAGACATCTACGCTGTTGTACACCAACAGTTTTGCAATATGTTTAGATAGTCTGATTGTCATTTTTTGGTTTCACTATCTCTAGACACTTCCGAATGCCCGTTGTGACAGCAAACAGTTCAAAGTGAACAAACAGAAGATTTGCAAACATCTTTTCACTACCTCACAAGGATGTAAGCTCTTCTTCAACTACGACTAACAAGGTCTGACAATATTTCCCCAAATGACTCGCTGTTTATATAATTTCCAATTCTAGCAAGGACAAGGTTCAAGAGACGGTGAATCCAAAGTTCAGACATTAAGTTAAGGCGTATTTTCAAATTAGGTATTCCAGTATTAGGTGTCATGACTGTCTCAATATGTTCTGACACCTCTATGAACACCAAAGACTTGCACTTGTACTTACCGAAGACTTAGCTACATAATCTTTGAAGGCTGCGACAGAACCTGCATCCGGAACTATGATACAAAGAGCCTAAAAGACTGAAAATTATTGACTTTACACATACTGTCCCGACAGGTATATCCTTACTTCCCGCTGGAGACAATATCTTTGCTAAATATCCTGATTCGTTGGCATCGAATGACATAGTTGCTTTGTCCGTCTCAATTTCCGCAAGTAAGTCTCCCTCTGTAACCTGCAGAATATACGAGAAACGAGAAAACATACCTCATCACCTTCTTGCTTTGCCCAGCTTATTACTGTCCCAGTCTCCATAGTAGGAGACAAATTTGGTAATCTGACGACAACATGGGAGGGGTAGGCTACATTTCAATGGAATAAAATGAGCACTTACACATAAATCGTTTGAAAGACAAGAAAGGCCTGTCATGATTCACCAAAAGACTCGACCTATTTTTGAGACGTTACTAATTTGAGTCAGTTTTTACCTATGTACAACTGTGCTATAGGTTGCAACTGGTGTGGATTGTCGTGTTCCACTTAGGAATCGAGCTTTTAGCCGGTAGAACGAACGCAGCCTTGATACAGGCCGATAACCCCGAAAAAACATCTCCTACCGACGGAAATTTAAAATGTGTGTATACGTCCTAACGATCAAGCATATTCGGCAGTATATGCAGTAAAACACTTGAAAATGTTATGAAAGTCCACTGAAATTTCTACATATCAAAGTTTGGAATGTTATATTCATGGAAGAACACTTGTGCTTGATAGCCTCGAGTTTTTAACCTATCCTCAGTATATAACTACTCATCTATTAATAAAAGACTAATATGGATTAGAGGTCTGCTTTTACAAGGAGGCATATCCGAGAAGAGACACTCAATATTGAGAGTAGTATAATGCATGCAAGCTTAAGGATGGTGATGTATCAAATGTTCTATTTGAAACAAAGGCATTACAATAATTCACCCGGATGCCTACACTCCTATATTAGATGGGGAGTGAGACTTAACATGCAATGTTATTTGTTTTCAGGATGCGCATTGAATGAACTAAATATACGAGATGGGATGAAGGTCTACGAAATAATCTCAGCAGCACTTTTCGCTTGACTGGTACACGAATAAATCATATATCGAAGTCTCATTCGGGGCAATCTAGTGAGAATGTATCCACTCATCACGGCTTGCTAGTTCTCCTTGAAGTCATCATTTGAAGCTTTCAGCATTGCAACAGCATCTAATATGAGTAAGAGCTATACACAGATGCAAACTTTCTGCACCACCAAAGACATCAGTGTAGCGTATGCATGATGCATAAATTACTGAAATTCTAAAGACAGGCGATTCGCACGTGTAATGCTGAAAAAATATACACCACTGAGTCTAAAATCATCTTATGCAAGTTTGAGCATTGTTTTATGTTCGAGCACTGTACAGGCACTCTGTGTATTCTTGCGCAAAGGTCTTGCAATGATACACCTAAAAAGTTTTAACATAAACGGTTCCTACTTAACCGTCAGAACCTCTTCTTCAACTGTTATTTACTAACTTTTATGTGGCAGTTTCGTATGTTCCTGTAACATCGACCTTAATCAGATTTACACACATGCCTTGGGAGTTATAAACACATCAGTTCTACTTTCCCATTTCGAGAGAAAATGAGATCGTGATTTTGTAAAGCAGTACCAAAATACTGAACAGTTTCAGTGTCTCCTAAATAAGTCGGTTCTATGCAGTTATATGCATTGATTCCTCACACTGAAATCCTTCGTATGATATCTTTATTGCTATATGGAGTCATTAGAGGCATATACATCTATTAAACTCCTTTCTAAGAGACTAATATGCCACAAGATGGAAAGTTCATCCAATTATATATCCACGATATTGCAGATTTACTATTGGTATATCTACTGTTGGAAGGCCTAATATTACCCCGAAATGGCCTATTGTTTCACAAGTATATTTCGGTTACAACTCGTCTCTTACATGCTTGTGTCTAAATTTCATGCTGGTTAATCGCCAGTACTATGGCGGTAGGATTTGTTTCTGCAGATATCCAGTTGCACTCAGTACCTCCTGATGACGAAATACTATACGCGATGGGTAGATGCCATCGCGATCCCGCATCAACGCGAGAGATCTGTGTTTGATGCAGTAGTTTAACACAGTCGCAGACCACGGTTTACCACAGGCGTTACTGCCTGATCAAAGCCTTTGTTTTGAGAGTGAACAGTTTACTTCCCATTTGCGACATCTGGGTATCAAGAAGATCTGCACAAAACCATATCATCCACGAAAGAATAGTTTGACAGAGAGGAAAACCCGCCCACTGAAGGAGTGACTAGTCCCAAAGGGAGGTTTCTGAGAGACAGAGCTTCCATTAATTTTTATTTAAAATCAAATTTATAAAGTACACAAAATGGCCGAAACCTGGCGTTGGATCATGGAGTCATTGACAACCAGCATGAATAACTATTAAACTCATAACTTGAAATCACTATCAGTGGTATAGAGAGTCCTAACCGTTGTGCGTCGGTGGCACAGTTGGAGTGTCGGTTGAGTGAAAGTCTGTACAGAGAGCGTTCGAAACTTACAACTGAGGTGCCAGTTCTGACATCTAGGGGCAGGCAGTTTCGTATTCTAGAACACATGTGTCAGTGTCCAAGTCTTACTACACTGGACCCCACGCTGTCCTTGGAAGACTTTCGGAAACCATGCGCAATAACCAACACAAAAACCAGAACGCAAATTGGTGACTCAAGAACCATTTATTCTTGCACCAATACAGAGTCAACCATTTGGTTATTGTACACAAAATTTCTGATAGATTTCTCTCTTCCAAAGAACAGCGGAAGATGAGACGATGACTGATGGATTGATGACTCCCGCGAAAATATGTAGTTGGGTTTGAGCAAACAACCATTGATCATTCAATCTTCAACTACATCGACAACATGACTGTGAAAAAGTTTTCGCGGACTGTTGATTTAAGGTAGGGCTGAGTGCAATGAGTTAATAGTGTATTCATTAAGGTAAACATCTCGCATAAGTGAGATGCTTTCGTTCAATTTTCTGAGAAAGTACCATGTCTCCCTGCAAGGTTTCTTCACTGAACTTTAGCAGGGTGCAATACGTGGTAGTGACGGATCCTGTCAATAGCATCTGTAACACAGTCAAATTAATTTCTAAACCAAGATTGGCAATGGAGATATGAATATAAGTGTGAATCGCTTGTAAACTGAGGGATTCGACGGTAACAGCACCATGCACCTGCAGTGTATTTCTTGTGCAGCTAAATTTCTGGAGGTGCAAGTAGATTTTATGAACTGAGCATTCGTGGATTATGTTGGTGTCCCATTGTGTCTTGTGAACAAAAGGCTAGTGGGATGCGACATCGTACACAGATGCACCTGCAGAGATGTAAGCGTGTGTTACTTCACGTAGACTGTGGGCTATATGAAGAAGGCATTTCTTCTAACGGATCCTCCATTGTACGCTCGCCTTCTGTCTTTTTCATATATGTTATGATTATCTACCTTTCCAAGTTTACCTGTAGTTAAGGAATGTACATAATTTTAAAGAACATGTTAAGCAAGTTTTCTATTAGCCAGTAGTCTCCCTATTCCAATCTTAATTGACATCACATCCGTCACCGTGTGTCAATGGAGTTGAAGATTGAACGATCAATTCTTGGTTGTTTGCTTAAAATCAACTTCCCCAATTTTCGCGGAGGCATCAATACGACAGTCATCGTCTTATCGTGTGGGGATATAGGCCGACACCAGGTGTTATCGCGCAATGCCATCGGTTACCGCGCTCACGTCAACAGACGTTATAATCACCTATTTTTTTGGAAATAGATTATATTTGACTAGTTTTAGACTTCTGTAGCCGGATGGCAGTATTTTGCTGTATTTTGTTCTTAGTAGAGCGTAAAATTGTATATTATAGCTCGGACGAATTATCAATGAAGAAGTCATCCTTTTTAAGAAAGTTCGCATAGAAAGACTATTATTTGCATTATAGTGCGTTGAGGGTTTGTTTTTTTGCGAGTTGTTTCAGATCTTAAGGTTGTAAATATACTGCAGTCAATGGCTGTTGTCATTCCAGTGAATCTATTAGAATCTGGCCTATGAAAGAGAAATAGCATGCAGGCATAGGTTAGATGTGTGCTTTGAACATGTTAAACTTTTCTGTTATCATCCGTGATGACATGGATAACTCATAACACATCGACGACATTATGCGATGAATGAGATAGGCTGCTGAATTTCCTGGTGATTATATCTATTTTGATGAAGTTCCTAGTTAAAAGTGCTTGGGCGAAGATGTAAAAATAGTTTAATTGACATTTACACATGAAATTTCACAAGGCCTTCATTGCTCAGTGCATGAAATGGCATCAGAGTATATTGACATCAGTGTTCATTGTGTCTGGAAGAATAGTATAAATAGTCCTTCTCAAATGTCAGAGTACTTAAAATTAGTACCAGATTTCTGTCGATTAGTAGCTAGCGGCTGTGTCGTACAACTACTACACCTGTTACATAGGTTATATCAATCTTAAAAATTATTTTGCTTCACATCACTAAGATAATCTGAGATCCTTAATGACTTAATTGTGGCTATGAAATATGTAGAAGATGCACTTATGGCTGATATATTTAAAGCAGTTATTATTAAACAAGTTATCTGTAAGCAACTTGTGATGTTCTGAATACTGCAAACTGTTGATAAGAAACTGCATCAAAGGAAAAAATGCTGAACAGCTAGAAAATACTACTGCAGTTTCGTTGGTTGTTACCTTTTGCATTTGTAAGTCATCCTTTCAAAGCTGCGATTGACGCCAAACCATCCATGGCACCCCACAGGCTCTATAGAAATTTGTGAGAGATCTTACATGTCAGGTTGTCTTCCAAATTGTAAGGTTGCAGATAGTTCAATTTACCTCTCACTGAAATATCACTTATCTACTTCACTATGGTCTTTTCATTTGTGCACTATTACACTTCATTTTATGTTAACTGGATATGCCTTTATTAAAGCTGAGACTTACTCTTTGTGCCTATTAGTTGCTTGCTTACAGTCTATTTGCTTTTATTAGAAACACAACAACACCAGTGTTGGAACAAAGCTGTATTTTCATGGAAAACGTCATATTTTCTATGTTTACACCAATATGGTTGGCATTAAACATTGCAAATGTATACTCACATTCCAAGGACATAGTACTTAACCAAATGTACGGTGTTCATTGTTAAGGGTTCACAATTTAACTCTTATAATTTATGATACTTCACGATTGCAGTTTATAACATAACTTATTGCGCCTGTAGAAATGACATGCATTCTTTGTAAACATTGGTTTATACGAAATTTGAAATTATTACTATATGCTTGCTGCTATCCTTTAGAAGAGGAATAATGTGTGTGGCAGTGAAAACCCCAGAAGAATGATGTCATTACCAAAGAATGAGAAAGGAGAATAAACCATTTTCAGCAAAGGTAGGCAGATATAAATCGTTTACCTTTAATATTACTTCTTCCTTACTTCAGCTATTTAAAAAACACTTTGTTTACTTATTTGTAGATATCTGGTAACGTCAATCACCCCAGTCACAGAGATTCGACATTGCACAAATTATTCCGACAATCGACTGCGTAAAGACATTTGCTTGTTATTATTTTTTCATTAAATACATTTAATATCCTGCTTACCAGACCTTTCTTATTATATCTGAGTGTAGATATATTTGTCATGATGACTAGGTGCAGACATGACTTATTAATAAGAACTGACGAAGTAATTGGTGGCATATTTTAGTGTAAGCTAAATCTAAATACGATTGTTAAAGCTCAACGAATTCAATAATTCGTCTGGTGTAGACTTTAATTTACGCTACATGTCAACAGCCTTAGTCATATGGATTGACATCACGCTTTAAGTGAAACATTAGTAATGCAATACTTTCGAATACACGTAACCGTATAAGAACTGGGACTCGAATGCAGTGCCTAAGTTATGCCTACTATTGTCCCTAAAGACTTGTATATGACTATGATACGTATGCACGTTAGCTAACTGAAATACTTATAATTTAACACGTATGCTGACCGACATCGTTCCTACACAATTACACTTACGTATTGTTAGTAGTGAAAGTCCTAGAGAGCACCGGTCTAGCATGCCGTGCTCACAAAGTGAACACATGAATTGAAAGACAACAAAATTTACATGAAAATTTTATTTTCATTATGATACAAATTTAGTTTATTTACATATTAAGAACACGATTGATTCCTGCGATTACTCCGTCTGCATAAGTATTGGCAAACACTTCTCCAAATTTGTCATTAATTCTGTCCATACCCGCAATGATAATCTTCTTTTTGGTATCGTATATGTCACTTCGATTTCGAGGGATAACTGCTGACGTACTTTGAGATGCGAACAAGTTGCGTGACCACGTCCATTGTTTACAATTATGCATCACATGGTTAACTACAAAAGGTGGAACAAAAAAAGTTAAGATAACTATGAACTGATTATTACATTACATTATACATTAAAAACGTAGTCATAAAAACGCAAATATACCTGTGAAATACGGCTTTCTGAAGTGGACCAAAAGCAAGTGTCGGCAGGGGTACCGACAGGTCTGAAATGTAAAGCACGTGCAGGTGCAAGCACTCAGATCAACCTGCACTGTATTCCCATTTTCTTTGAAGAATACATAATCAAAGGATTCGAACTCAACAATAGCCCATCGTCGCAATTGGTATTCACGTATTACCTTCCTCGCGGCGTATGGTGTCAGCAACCGTATAATTGGGATTAAACGTTGTGAACAGGGATACGTGAAGCATCGTGATTGAGCAATATTCGCCTCCTGCTGTATTATTGAAAAACTTCGTTTATGCCATTTATACACCTTTAGCATACTTTTATGCAGACTATCAGATCTTTGCAAAAACCGTTTCATCTGCTTGTGGGAACTCTCGACACGATTATTTGTATCGTTCCCAAAAGTCAGCACGTTATCTCTGAAACAGGCTGCCCACAATTCTCGTCGATGCATCCAACGACGTTGTAGATATTGACTGACATTAGCATCCAATCTGCTAATAACTCTGAAGTAGAAATTAAATCTGCAAAATGAGAACAATAGAGGCATTACTCTGATCTCCTTTTACACTGCACTAGACGGCATAAATAATTCTTCACAATGGGATTTCTTGTCTACGAATAAAATGTAAAGTATGCTTCGAAAAACTTACTTTCCGACAGAAAGCTCGGCAAACATGGAAAGAACACAAAACAATGTGCGCTTGTCTGTGCGTTAACTTGACGGCTGCTATTTCAGCTTGCGCACAATCCATAATGAAGGATTCTGTTTTGGAGGTGTCTTCCATTATTTGCCGGAAACAGTCTAATATCCAAACTACATCTCGTTTGAATTCTTTTCTAGTCCACGCAAATAAAACTGGTCGTCCACGACCAAAATTATCCGTCACAAGTAGCTGGAACAAAGAATACCTGCACGTTGATTAATGAATTGGTAAACTTACTTCCCCTTATTTGTATTATACGTCGAGTCGATACCAACAACTTCAGGGAACTGTTTATACAATTCCATTTGCTCATAAGTTGCAAAACAAATTCTTGTTAGTGAATTCCTGATCGGTTCATCGGAATAATACTCCATTAACTTCCCACGGGATTTTAGGAATTCAAAAATGTCACGACGACTCGAAATACCTTAAGTATGTAACAAGTACGTCAACGTTACCTTTATTCACTGCGGCTTTCATATTTTTAACGTCAATGCGAGTTATATCCTTGTTGTACTTCTCCTTAACATGCATTATTATTTCATCGGATGAGTGGGATTGCTGAAGAAGTGGTTCAATATTTTCTTTCTCTTCAACTGTTAGTCGTCTATACCATGGGTCATTCTGCATGTACACCCTGCTGCATGGATGGTTATGCACCATATTGTGGGAAGCAATTATGTATTCACTATAATGCAAAACCACGCGAAATGAAGACGAGCAATTGCAACATTTAGACCTGCAATATTCATGAAATCATATTACACTTCTTCTTACGACTTGTTTTTCAATTTCAATCCAGGTCTTGTACGATTCACTCCAAAAGTGCATTTAAAACCAACATAAGCGTACTTAAACCTGGCATCCGGTATCGTTTTGCTGCAATTATGAACATAGTGAGTGTAGGATAACTACACTGTTAGCATTAAATGACTTCCTCACTTTTTGAAATTCTGCTAATGACTTCTCAAATTCATCCCAGCTGAAGAAACGCTTTCCAAGTATGTATTCAGCAAAAATTCCACTTAAATCTGTGCTCCTGTCACTCGAATTGACTACCTGCAACGGACTAAAATAAAGTTATCAATTAGGATCCATCTATGTCACAACTATTCCAAGATAAATCGTAAAAAAACAACATTGAAATACAGGGATGATCGATAACCATCAAGAAAATACCGCACGTATAACCTAAATTACAGAAAAACACAAGAACCCACCGGTTCGTTGACATCGCAAGCAACCAATAGACCAAACAACGAATTGTACGACAAATAATGCCTAGTACATGCACAAACAAAGAAAAACAAAGCGTTACAATAGTCTAATACACGTTTACAGTAATCACATATGCTGGCAAACGACGCAAACACAACCACGCAAATACAGCACCCGACAGCACGCACCCAAGGACAATTCAAACTCCAATTGACCGCCACCATTCTAGCCAATGAAAGACGAAAAAAAATTAGTCGCGGAAAATATAACACGAACCCACGTATATCCTCACCCGTCTCATCGGTCGCTGTTCAGAAAGAAGAGTGAAACATCGTCAGAAGTAATACAATGATTTATTATTGTAATATTTGTTTTCAGACCTTAGTTCACTTATTCTTTTTATATGTTGGTGTAACAATAAAGAAATATCAAGCGGCAGATCGGTGTTTTGGTTTTTCGTCCGTTATAACTAAGCGTTTCTGAAATCTTCGAAGAACAGCGTGGGCCCGAGCGTAGCGAGAGCTGGGCATTAACGGTTTATGAGACGTGATTGACACCGTGACTAGGGGAATAGGCTGTAACGTGGTGTGTCCTGCGGCTATATGTAGGTACTTCCTTTTGAATTAATATCATACTTCTAACCTTATGAACCTGTGGATATCGTTTCTCCCTAACGATACACTAGAAGTCAGAAGCACTTAGTCTTAGGTAGATCTATTTTTACTTTGTAGGTGATCGTAAACAGTGATTCGGCTGGTGTTGTGGTTGTAGGAAAGACAACTCCAAAAGTTTTGGTAATCTCAATATTTCCGTGGATATGCGAACACATCTAATTTCAATGGTGGCAAAACTACCCTTTTTAACGAAGAATTTCTAAGGGTGTCCGCCTTTGCTTAGCAGTTCAAGACTTAGGGTAAACTGTACCTTGCCAAGTTATTGAAGAGACAGGATTATGTGTGGGCTTGTATTTGGAAATACTTAACCCACTGTATTTGAGTAGCTGGGCAACATGCCGTTTACCATCAGCCGTAATTCAAAGATGACATTAAGTTATTCATCAGAGCAGTAGTTTCAGGAGACTGTTCCACCCTTTTCCTCAAAACACTGCCCGATTGCGTTTTGTTTCAAAATATGAGTATACTAGCTGGCTGGTGTTGCTTATTCGTGCTCTCACTTTTACTTTTCCATTTTTGCTCCTATTTATCAAAATACCTCCCTTTAAACTATTATGAAGTTACCATTACTTTTAAATATATATTTTAAACTGTTCGCGTGCAAAACGATGTTAATAACGCTATCACCTATGCCATATTCTAATCCTTGAATTATTGGTTTTCTCCTACCTAAGCATCTGTTTGAGCTTTAACGCATAGTTCTAACATTTGACTACTACACCTGGATTTTGCATTACATACAATCCTGCATATTGGTGACAATACAGTTCAAGGATAAATATGTCTTTTCAGTGTGCTACTTAGAATAAAAAAAATTTTTAAAATTAAACTTTTGAGAAAAAAAACAACAACAACCTGCTATTCTCTAGGGCTCACAACGCTCTCAAACTTTAATGTCCAGCATCTTTTAGCAGAATATGCATGTGAAGAATACAGAATACGCTTATTATTGAATTAACAGGAAGTATAAAATTAATGAGGCTGGAAGCCACTTTCTTCATGAATGGACCCCATGAAATCACCAAAATCCGGGAGCAGCTAAAAAAGAAAACAAAAGTTTACAGGATTCATATATAGAGACTACTACCGATATAACTAGCGAGTTAAAGCGGTAAGAAGTACTAGAAGTTCCTAATATTAGTTTGGAACTGCATTGGTTAATATTTTTGACACTTTTGGGCAATACCACAGTTTCCAAATTTTACTTCAAAATGTTTCCGAGATAATTCCGTGAATTATGGTTCCACATGAGGAGACAAGGAAGTCTCATGACGATAGCAAAAAGCGTTCAGTTAATGAAAGCAAGAAAAATGGTAATATAGCAAAGTCACATACTAATTATGCGTCTTTATATAACCGATCAGACGGTGTTCAAGTAATTCAAACTCAACGAAGTATTAAAATTTTGATAGCATTATTAGAAGACGGAGAGTATTTGAAAAATGTGATGTATTGGCGCTATATATTTCGAACAATCTGATCACACAATTACCTGTCAAGTCAATATATACGGAAAAGTTAAATTAAAATTAAACATTATTATAAACAAAGTGACAAAAAAGAATGAGGAAAAATTAACGCAAACGTTTGTTAATTCAACCAAATAAGGATTACCAAGGTAGGTTAAGAGTAATAACAAACTGTTTTGGAATACACAAGGGGGGCTTGAGTTTACGAATAGCTGTAGCCTCAGCGTATATCAGTAAACGCCCTCGACCGTTTTTATAGATGACCTTAAAGGCTGGGTTGACATCAATCTTATGGTTCGTCTCGATTGGCTGTTAAGCTATAGACGAAGTTGGTTGTCTGACACCTGCATCTATTGGCTTGTCACAATTCATCTGTTTTTCTAACCATTTTGGGATATGTACTCCCACCCTCACGTGCAAAGCGGGATTACTCCTCCCCTGTATGTATGTCCACACACACGAAAATTGGCAAATTTTGTGGGATGTGATATAATCTTTGTGTAACCTGCTTACATCTTTAGACATACTTCTGAGTCGAAGAGATGCTGGCTCAATAAGAAGATCTATCTACATAAAACACACATGGACAGGGAAATACCTTAATTTTCACAGCTTCAGTCCATTACAGTACAAGAGAGGCTTGGTGGAGTGTCCATTTAAGAGGATTCAGCGTATTTGCAAGGCTGATACTATAGACAAGGAAAATCAATTATTGATGGATACTCTTGTTGAAAACGAATATCCTGCGAAATTTAAAACAGGTGTAGAAGTCAGCAAGTCCCAAAACCTGCAAAAAATAGCGTCCCTAGGAAAAAGGTTTTCACAAAATTACCATATGTCAGCCAGGTCTCAGTAACTGTCAATGTCCAGCTCTTACTACGCTGGACATCACGATGTCCCCGGAAGACATTCAGAAAACTTTGTCACTATAGTTGAAGATTGAACGATCGATTCATGGTTGTTTGCTCTAAACCAACTTCCCCGATTTTCGTGGAGGCATCAATACACCAGTCATCGTCTCATCGGTCGCTGTTCAGAAAGAAGTCAGGAGAACACCGTCAGAAGTAACATTGTGATTTATCATTGTAATATTTGTTCATAGACCTTAGTTTTAAAGTTGGCTATATGTTGGTGTTACAATAAAGAATTCTCGAGTCGCCAATTGGTGTTTTGGTTTTTGCGTCCGTTATTACTAAGCGTTTCTGAGAAGCTTCAAGGAACAGCGTGAGTCCCAGCGTAGCAAGAGCTGGGCATTGACGGTTTACCAGACGTGGCTGACAGTTTCTGACGGTAGAAACAGATCTGGCGGATTCAGACAGTTGGTGAAAGTTTGGATAGTCGCCGTTCATTTTTCCTGGTGCCGGCCAAGTCCTCTTTGAACAAGCAATATCTGGAACTTTTTGGAATTTGGTCAAGTTCAACAATGCCTGGGTCAGAGAAGGGACAGAGTGTCTTGGATGCAAACAGGAAAGTAAGTCATGGTGACTTGTCTGTTACTGGTAACGATGTTTCTGATGTTAAGCATGACATGGTTGATGTTACTGTTTCGCCGTTCAGGGATAATAGGAACATCAAACTCCCTAAATTTGAACCACGGTGTTTCGACGGAAACACGACTGATTATTTACAGTTTGTAAGAGAATTTGAAATCATGTTGAGTGGTTTTTTATTAAATGATGAATTGAAGTTAATGTATTTGATGAGATATTGCACTGGAGATGCTGCAAGAGCTATACAGTGCTGTAAGTTTATGAAGCCAAAAGAGGGCTACTACGAGGCTATGAGCATATTACGTCAAAGGTTTGGAAGACCTTCGATGATTGCAGGGAAATTATTCGAGGCTGTTAAGGGTAATGGTGGTCAATTACAGGATGACTCCCAGGCACTCACTGAGCTTTTAGATAATTTGCTAATTTACAAGAATGGAATGATTTCGATGAATCGCATGAGTGAGCTCAACTCGAGTTTTATACTAGAAGTAATGGCAAGACACCCACATACTCGACTGCAAAGGAAGTGGGTGAAGATAAGCCCCTGTATGGAGGATGAAGGTATCGAGCCAAAGTTTGATGATATCCTGAAACTGGTAAATACTGGTGTCAATCAATCGATGAGCAAGTTTGCCTGTCTATTGCATCTCACCCCTAGAATAGAGCAGTCTGAGAGCAAAATGCAATCATTGATGACGAGTAGGCCTCAGAGAGGTGGATATCGAGAAGGCTCCATGATGTCTAGTAATGCATATAGACCTAGTGAGTGTAACAGGTTTAGTAGTACATCCTCAACAGATAAGTTGCAAGATGCAAGACAAACACGGTTGTGTTTTACACGTTTTCAAGAGGTGCATACAGAAGTGAACTGTGAATCAGTGAGCAAGTTCACTGATAAGCTAAATGTGAAATCCAGGTCTGACTCCGAATTGTCTGACGATAGCGGTGCGGTAAAGAAGTTTGTAGATGCAACTGGTAAGCCATTGTTGAATAGAGTGTCACAGAATAGAGTAACTGCTTCAGATTGCAGTTCTGACTCCACAAGTTTACGAGGTATTACTAGTCAGAGTGAAGATATAAAACCTTTAATGATTTGTGAGGAGGAGCCAAAATTGTCTACTTCTGTTATTAAAGAGTTTGAAAACGATGAAGTTGACGGTAAATTGAATATTTGTGATAATGATCATGATAGTGCAGATTTGTCTTTGGTTGATCATGATGAAATGAGGGATATGCCTGCTACTTCTAAGTTGAACAAAGGTTCTGTACAACTTGAACGTGAAGTAGAATTAAAGGCAGATGCAGTTGCAGAAGGTATGGATACTTGTGAGACTGTCAGTGTAATTGATCAGCGTGTAGCCCACCTATCATCAGATGATAGTG